TTTTCACATTCCCTCTTTTCTCCTCCCTCCTTTCCTTCCTCCTCCCTCCCTCCCTCTTTCATTCTTTCTTCTCCCTCCTTCCATCTTCCCTTCCTCCCTTCCTTTTTCACATTCCCCTCTTTTCTCCTCCTTCCTTCCTTCCTTCCTTCCTTGCCTCCCTCCCTCCCTCTTTCATTCTTTCTTGTCTCCCTCCCTCCCTTCCTTTTTCACATTCCCCTCTCTTTTCTCTACTCCCTCCTTCCTTCTTGTCTCCCTTCCTTCCTTTTTCCCCTTGCCCCTTTTCTCCTCCTCCTTCCCTCCCTCCATTCTTTCATTCTTTCCCTCCCTCCCTTTTTCACATTCCCCTCTTTTCTCCTTCCTTCCTTCCTTCCTTTCTTCCCTCCTTCCTTCTTCCCTCCCTCCCTCTTTCATTTTTTTTTCTCCCTCCGCCCCCGCTCCCCCCCCCCGCAGTCCTCTCGGGCGTCTTCACCGACGTGGAAGCCTCCCTGAAGGAGATCCAGGAGCTGCTGGAGGACGGGGAGGCCCAGGAGCGGAAGCTGCCGGAGACCCTGGGCCAGGCCCCGCCCCCTCAGCCTCCGGAGCCCCGCCTCTCCTCCGCCGCCGCCGCCGCCGGCCTGGCCGAGGTGGCCAAGGAGTGGTCCAAGTACCTGGAGGTCCACCGGGCGGCCAGCTTCACCAACACGGAGCTCCACAAGGCCATGCACCAGCACATCGCCAACCTCCGGCTGCTGAGCGGGCCCTTGGAGGGGGTCAAGGCCGCCCTGCCCGCCCCCAGCCTCTCGGAGGGTGAGGATGGATGACCCCTGGATGCCCCTGGGACGGGTGGGGGGTGGGTGGGAGGCAGAGCTGGGAGGGAGACCCACACACACACACACACACTACACACACACACGTCTCCCGCCCCCGTGCCCGCTTGGCCTCTTCGGCCCCTCTGCCTCTGGAGCCCCCCCCCACCCATCCAGCTCCAAAGCCTTCTGGGTAACAGATTTGGCCCAGGCGTCCTGGAGTTGGCAAGGATGAAGGATTAGGGTTAAGGGTGAGGGTTTAGGAATGAGGGTTAAGGACAAAGGGTTTCGGGATTAGGGTTAAGGGCTAAGGATGAAGGGTTAGGGTTAAAGGGGGGTAGGGATTAGGATGAGGGTTGAGGATTAGGGTTAAGGGTGAGGGTTTAGGAATGAGGGTTAAGGATGAAGGGTTTGGGATTAGGGTTAAGGGCTAAGGATGAAGGGTTGGGGTTAAAGGGGACTAGGGATTAGGATGAAGGGTGAGGGTTGAGGATTAGGGTTAAGGATTAGGGTTAAGGGTGAGGGTTAGGAATGAGGGTTAAGGAGGAAGGGTTCGGGATTAGGGTTAAGGGCTAAGGACGAAGGATGTAGGGTTAAAGGGGGTTAGGGATTAGGATTAAGGGTGAGGGTTGAGAATTAGGATTAAGGATTAAGGATTAGGGTTAAGGATTAAGGATTAGGATTAAGGGTGAGGGTTAGGAATGAGGGTTAAGGATGTAGGGTTAAAGGGGGTTAGCGATTAGGATTAAGGGTGAAGGTTGAGGTTTAGGGTTAAGGATTAGGATTAAGGGTGAGGGTTAGGAATTAGGGTTAAGGATGAAGGGTTTGGGTTAAAGGGGGTTAGGGATTAGGATTAAGGGTTAGGATTAAGGATTAGGATTAAGGGTGAGGGTTAGGAATGAGGGTTAGGATTAGGGTTAAGGGTGGGGGTTAGGGATTAGGATTAAGGGCGAGGGCTGAGGATAATGATTAGGATTAAGGATTAGGGTTAAGTGTGAGGATTAGACTTAAGGGCTAAGGATGAAGGGTTCGGGATAAGGGTTCAAGGTGGGGGCTAGGATTAAGAGTCAGGGCTGAGGGTAAGGATTAGGGTTAAGGATTAAGGATTAGGGTTAAGGATTAAGGATTAGGGTTAAGGATTGGGGATTAGGGATAAGGATTAGGGCTGAGGGTAAGGGTTAGGGTTAAGGGTTAAGAATTAAGGGTTCGGATTAGGGTTAAGGGTGAGGTTTAGGAATTAGGGTTAAGGATGAAGAGTTTGGATTAGGGTTAAAGGCTAAAATTAGGGTTAAAGGTGGGAGGTTAGGGATTAGGATTAAGGGTTAGGGATGAGGATAAGGATTAGGGTTAAGGATTAAGGATATGGGTTAAGGGTGAGGATTTGAAATTAGGAATGAGGGTTAAGGATGAAGGGTTCGGGATTAGGGTTCAAGGTGGGGGCTAAGATTAAAAGGGCTGAGGGTAAGGGTTAGGGTTAAGGATTAAGGATTAGGGTTAAGGATTAGGGTTAAAGGTGGATTGGGGATTAGGATTAAGGATTAGAATTAAGGATTAGGGCTGAGGGTTAGGGCTAAGGGTTGAGGGTGAGGGTTAAAGGTGGGGGGTTAGGGATTAAGGGTTAGGGCTGAGAGGGTTAGGGCTGAGAGGGTTAGGGTTAGGGTAAGGATTAGGGATTAGGGTTAAGGATTAGGATTAAGGGTAAGGGTTAGGAATTAGGGTTAAAGATTAAGGGTGAGGGTTAGGGTTAAAAGTGGGTTAGGGAGGATTAAAAGTTAGGGTTGAGGATTAGGATTAAGGATTAGGGTTAAGGGTGAGGGTTAGGAATTAGGGTTCAGGGCTGAAGGGTTAGGGTTAAAGGGGGTTAGGGATTAGGATTAAGGGTGAGAGTTGAGGATAAGGATTAGGGTTTAGGATTAAGGGTGAGGGTTAGGAATTAGGGTTAAGGATGAAGGGTTAGGATTAGAGTTCAGGGCTAAGGATGAAGGGTTAAGATTAGGGCTAAAGGGGGTTAGGGATTAGGGTTAGGAATGAGGGTAAGGATTGGGGATAAGGATTAAGGATTAGGGTTAAGGATTAAGGTTAAGTGAGGATTAGGATTAAGGGCTAAGGATGAACAGTTAGGATTAGGATTAAGGGTGAGGGCTGAGGATAAGGATTAGGATTAAGGATTAGGGTTAAGTGTGAGGATTAGGAATTAGGGTTAAGGATGAAGTGTTAGGATTAGGGTTCAGGGCTAAGGATTAAGGGCTAGGATTAGGGCTAAAGTTGGGTTAGGGATTAGGATTAAGGGTTAGGGCTGAGGATAAGGATTAGGGTTAAGGATTAAGAATTAGGGCTAAGGGTGAGGGTTAGGGTTAAAGGTGGGGGTTAGGGATTGGGATTAAGGGTTAGGGGCGAGGGTAAGGATTAGGGTTAAGGGTAGAGGGTGAGGATGAGGAATGATGGTTAAGGATGAAGGGTTAGGATTAGGGTTGAGGTTATGGATAAGGATTAAGGTTTAGGAGTAGGCCTAAGAGGGTTAGGAATTAGGGTTAAGAATTGAGGGGTTCAGATTAGGATTGACGAATTACAGTTACGGATTAAGGGTTGAGGGCTAGGGCTAAGGATGATGGATTATGGATCAGGGTTAACGTTGAGGGTTAGGGTTGAGCGGGTGGATAAGGGTTAGGGGTTAGGATTAGGGATTGGGATTAGGGTTGAGGATTAAGGGGTTAAGATTAGGATTGAGGGATTAGAGTTACGGGTTAGGGTTAGGGTTGAGGGTTAGGGCTAAGGATGATAGATTAAGGATTAGGGTTAACGGTGAGGGTTAGGGTTGAGCGGGTGGATAAGGGTTAGGGATTAGGATGAGGATTGGGATTAGGGATTAGGATTAAGGATGACGGCTTAGAATTAGGCTGGATCCTGAGGGCAAAGGGTTAGGGGTGAAGGATTATGGTTTAGGACTAGGGTGGAGGCTGAGGCTTACGGGGTTAGGGATTAGGCTGAAGGCTGGCCCGCCTTACGCCCCAAAACCCTGACCCGGGTTCTCGCCTTCAGACGACCAGCAAGCCATCCAGAACTTGAAGCGGATGCTGGCCAAAGTCCAGGAAATGAGAGACCAGAGGGCGTCCCTGGAGCAGCAGCTGCGGGAGATGATCCAGAAGGACGACCTGACCACCTCCCTGGTCACCACCGATCAGTCCGAGATGAAGGTGAGAAGCCAGGATGCAATCGTGGCTTAGCGTGGCCCCCAGGTGGATGTCCCTCAGGCCTTGAGAATCCGAGAGTGGAACGAGAAAGGCCTCGGCGGACTTCCACTCCCAGAATCCCTCAGCCGGCCTGCTTTAAGACGGGTGGACTTCAATTCCCAGAAGCTCCAAGCTGGTCAAGACGTCCTACAGACGTCTCTGAGATGCCTCCATCTAAGATGGCCACCTCGAGAGGTCCACCTCTAGAAGCTTCTAAGATGGCCACCAGAAGAGGTCCACCTCTGGAAGCTTCTAAGATGGCCACCTCAAAATCCCCAGTATCATCTAAGATGGCAACCTGAAGGGGTCCATCTTCAGAACCTTCTAAGATGGCCACCTCAAGAGGTCCACCCCCCGAGGTTTCTAAGATGACCACCTCGAGAGGTCCACCTCCAGTAGCACCTATGATGGCAACCTCAAGGAGTCCACCTCCAGAAACCTTTAAGATGGCCACCTCAAGAGGTCCACCCTCAGAGGTTTCTAAGATGGCCACCTCAAGGGGTCCACCTCTAGAACCTTCTAAGATGGCCACCTC